GTGGTGCGATCATCCCCCTTGCGCGGAGCGAGGGTTCTCCACCCCGCACAACAAGATCTACTCGGTCACCATTATGGTTACCGCCAAAAAAAAAAACGGAGGAAAAACAAAAAGACGGTAACCTGGTTGCCGAGCTCACGAAGTGAATTGGCTTGTTTTACAACGTCGTTGCCAAGCGACGAAAACCCAACCCCGATGGCAAAACACCGGGGGGGGGCAGTGGGGGGGGTGCCAATCGTTTTATCGTGTGTGTGAGTTGCCGAAATAGTGGGCGGTGACGGTGACAGCCAGTGTATTGTGGTCACGGCCGTGGCGGGCGAAGGAACGGAGTCGGCGTGGTCATTCGAGTTGCGAAAGAGGCGAGAGAGAGAGGACGGAGGCGCCGAGACAAGACAAGCACGTGCGCGAGGGGAGTCGCGGCGTTGAGCCGGCGGGACATACACACAAAACAGAGTTACGTGGCGCGAGATATTGATTCATGCGCAGCTGATACTCTTAGCCGCTTCCGATTCGTTAGTCGCCCATGGGACGCACGTTCATAACAGTTACGGGCAGCATGGTTCTGTGACGGTATTGATGGTGAGTATGGATGCCGTGAAAAAATTGCTTCGCGCGGGACGATGCGTGGAGAAGCAAAAACAGGGGCGCCCTCAAAGAACCCCCCCCCTACTCTAGAGCCTGGTCCGGTGAGAACCCGGCGTGCTCCGTCCCGGCTTTGTAGGGATGCGAGGTCAATGGTCTAACGACTACGGCATGCACGACTATGAGTNCCCCCCCCCCCCCCCCCCCCTACTCTCCAAAAAAACAAGGGCATGCACGTGGACGACAAGAACCACCGAAACAAGCGTGGCGTCCAGGCCACGGCTTCTCCAACACGCATCCAAATCAATACCCCTCCCCCCCGCCAGGCTCCTAGATACGGTCAATGGTCTCCCCCGCTTCCCCCTCCTCGTTCCCTAGCTACGAGAGAGGAGGCCGGCCATAGGAAAAGTGGGGAGATACCCCCACGTACGTACCTCCTGCGCGTACACGAGCGCACCGGGTCGCACGGGCGCCGGTATCTGCTGGGGACCGATGGTCTTCGATCTTCCACCGGCGACAGCGAGGGACCCGACGCGCACGACGCCGGGGTACCAGGCCGGCGCCACGAGGAACGACCAGGCGTCGCCGGCAAAGCCGTAGTTTTCGAAGGTCTTGACCATTTTTGCCTGTCGGAAGAGGAAATAAAGAAGTCGGGGGTTCTGCAGAATTAAGAGAGGGAGGGGGGCGAGTGTACTCATAGTCGTGCATGCCGTAGTCGTTAGACCATTGACCTCGCATCCCTACAAAGCCGGGACGGAGCACGCCGGGTTCTCACCGGACCAGGCTCTCACATCACCAAGCGCGAAGCGCCGTGAGATATTCGGCGAGTCGCATGAAGGGTGCGCTGCATCCTGCTAAGGGTTTTCGGCATCTTGTGCTTACTTCCTTGCGTACGGATGACAGCTGCGTATGACTTAATTTATTTTCTGGTGCTTTCACTTCCAGAGACAGTTGTAAGCACTGTGTAACTGCCTCGAGGGTGCTTGACCATTTTAACACAACGTGGTGCGATCATCCCCCTTGCGCGGAGCGAGGGTTCTCCACCCCGCACAACATGATCTACTCGGCCACCATTATGGTTACCGCCAAAAAAAAAAACGATGGAGGGGCTTGTTTTACAACGTCGTTGCCAAGCGACGAAAACCCAACCCCGATGGCAAATACCGAGGGGGGTGGAGGTTGCGTAGAAGGAAGCGGGCCAGACGATCGTCGGCAGGACGTCGAGAGCAAGCAAGAGAGAGAGGGACGACGAGCTATGGGTCTTTCTGGTCGAAATAACATCCACAGAGGTATGTAGAAGAGGCTGTCCTCACCACGTGCAGGTTACAAAATTGTGGAGAACGGGGGGCATTCTGGATGCGCATCTGGACTGTCGTGCCCGCACACTGCTGTTCGTGCGCCGTGAGAGCACGTTCGACCCGCTTTACCCTCTCCCCAGGACGTGACGCCTTGATCATTGCAGCACCAACGAGAAAAAAACGCTGCCACATGAAGAGCAATCGACGATGTACTACCCTCCAAAAAGCGCAGGCAACGAACGGCAAACCCTCCGCCGCCGCTGTTCCGCTCCCTACCCCGCCGCCCCTGTTACCCTTGCCTGCTCGCACCTGCACAGCTTCCACGAGCTGTCCGGCTGATCCGCTCTTCGTGGCGTGGGTCTCGGCCTCAAACAGCTCCCAGAATCCGGGGGGGGAGTAGTCCGGCGGCCGCGCAGCCAGGAGCTCGGGCAGGGTCTTGTAACCTTCGAGCATCGGTTTGATGACTTCCCAGGATCGGAACTCCTCGGCCTGGTGCGTCGGGGGATAAGAAGGGGAAAACCGGGGTGGGGGGGGCGGGGTTGAGAGTTGCCGACAATCATCGCCGTCTGAGCCTTGTATTTCCTGCACTGAGTGAATATAGACAAGATACCAAGCCTACAACGAAGCAAACCCTCTCAGCGCCACTCACACGTGTGTTCAACGGCGGGTTTACCAGGGAGAGAGTTAGAAACAGAGACAGGCACAGGGAGCGCCATGCGTGAAGTCAGTGCTGTATTCGTCGGCGAGGACAGGAGCGTTAAGCGACCGCTGGCAGAGGAACGTGGCGCGGCGAGGCACCAGGTCCCATCCCAACAACAACAACAACAACAACAACGACGACGACGACGACGACGACGACAGCAACAAGAACAACAACAACAACGCAGACTGGACACTAGAACGCTTACCTTGGGCTCGAGAGGCCCCTCGTGAACACCCCCCACGCGCATGCTCTGGACAAGCTCTATGAACTCGTCCAGGTCCAGCTGGCCGTCGTTGTTCACGTCGACGGCCTCGATGTAACGAGTCACCTATGCCGCCACGGGCAACGCACACACAAAGTGGAAACCAAGGGGGAAAGACATTCGGTCAGACACGCCGTGGTTCGTTGGAGGAGAGGGTACCATGGTTCGCTGTTGTTGAAACGGCCCACGAAGAGGCACCAAGGCCATCGACAAAACAAAACTCGGTTGTACCCGCGGAGTGTTTTTCGTCAGCATGGCGATCAGATCGCTCATGACCCCGTTGCTCGCACAAAAGCACAGAAGCCGTATGTAAGTGTGCTGACGGATGAGACCGGGGCGGTGCGCTAAGGGTAACCTACCTTGTTGGTCGACCGTCATCGCATCCCTCCAAAGTTGTTACGTTCTTCACATCAAAAACGGTTCCGGTATGTTCTCAGTACCTCCTAACACCCGTACCGGCCAAACGGACGCGTACCTGTCTGTCCAACTCCGAATGAGTGCGGAGGGGGTCCGAGCTCTTGAGGAGCTCCAAGATCTCGCCGGCGTCGAGGGAGCCGGACCCGTCGGTGTCGGCTTCGTCGAAGGCCTTCGTCAGGGCCTGCCGCCGGGCCCGCGCGAGGGTAACCTCGTCGGGGCCGTCCGTCATCAACCGCATCATGGTGCTCGTGAACTCGTCGATGTCCAGGGTATCGGTGCCGTCTGCGTCCAAAAGTCTGGTGGTTTCGGGGTCGTCGGCGGTGGATGTGGGGATTGGAACGCGGTGGTGTTTGAGAGGACGCGACGGCGGTGGTTTCAGGGGAAGACGGCAACATCGACAGCGAAAACAACAACGATGACATCGACCACAGCGACGGAAACAAAAGGGATGACATCGACAACAGCTCTCAACGTATGCGTACTCTACTCACGCAATGAACTGGAGCACTTCCGCCTCGGTCTGCGTGGGGTCCAGGTTCTGGCCCTGAAGATTGAGCCTTAGGAGCGCTGAAAACCGGGGAAAGGCGTCGGCGGGCACGAGTAGTGGGAAGGGGTAGTGGGAAGGGGAAGGGGGTGTACATGAAGGCTGTGTGGGGGGGCGAAGGGACATCGCACACAAACATTTGTTGCAAGTTTCGCGATTTGGCTCAGTACGTAGAGCGGAATTTCTAACCCGCCCTAGCTGATGCTGTAATTTTCACTTCCAGTGTATAATTTCTGTCTTGCGAGCGGTGCCTACATACAAAACTTTCACGCAACTTTACGGTGCCCCGTATCCCCTTCTACAAAAAAAAAAACTTCCATGATTCTCTGGGGTCTCCAGTCCAATCCCTGCCGCCCCCCGCGCCCCCCCCCCTGTCGACCTTCAGCTACATACATGCACGCCTTCCAGTTCGATCCCCACCCCGCCCCCGTCCCTCCGCCTTCCAGCTACAATCACACACGCCGTCCAGCTGCAAACCCATGCCCACCTTCAACCTCTGCGCGGTCAAGGTTTCCGTCCCCGTTCACATCCGCCAGGCGGAACGCCTGCCGGAGACTGGCCACCATGCGCCGCTGCGCCTTGTCCAGCGCAAACGTCAGCGACTTCCCGGCGGCAGACTGGCCGCTTGCGGCGGCGGGGGGGGCTCCGCCAGCGGCGGGTGGGGCGGCCTCCCCGACGCTGAGGGACGCCATGAGCGACGTCGCGATGCCCTGCAGCACCGCGATGTCGAGGTCGGTGACCTTCACGTACAGCCCCGAGCTGACGTGCAGCTGGACGTCCATATTGACGTGCCATCCCGACCTAGTCGTAGCGCTGTCGGTGGTGTTGCCGTCGGTTTCCGCTGCCGCGGAAGTAGGGCCACCGCCTGCTCGATCCTCTTCTTCTCCCCCCGACAACGCAGTCACCGCCAGCTGTTGCTGCTCCTGTGTGTGGGGGGGGAGGGACGACGAGGCGATGGTGAAAAGAAGTAAAAGATGCTAGATGTTAGCCCAGGCCCAGTACCCTATTGAATCAGTTTTCGCTGCAGTATCAACGGCTGCAGTGCCGTTGGGGGAGGCGCAGGATCGAGCTATGGGAGGAGGCAGCGCGGCAAGAGCAACACCGTGATAAACGACAACAACAACAACAACCACCACGACATCCACACACCAGATCTGCTGTGCGCGCATGACCACGAGAAACGACGACGACAATCACCGCCCACGCACTACACATACCAGATCTACCGAGTGCATGGCCGCGAGGTCCGATTCGCTGTTGCGCTGCATCATGTCCGTCACCAGGGTAGCGGTAGTAGCCTCGAGGGTGTCTCCGGCCGTCAGGGCAACATAGGTGGAGTACTTGATCTTCATCTTAACCGGGAGGATGATTCGTCTCTCCGGAATGGGGAACAGGTCCAAGTCCTGGGGAAAACGAGAAACACATGTCGGTTTCATATTTCGGGTGGAGGCGTTAGGGTCAGGGGAATCGTTTGGGGTTGGGGGAAACATACGGGCGGAGGATGCCTTTGGGTTACTTGGAAGCGTTTGAGTTTGTTGGAAGCACTTTGAGTCGGAAGCGGCTTGGCACTCCTGTGTGTCATTTGAAGCCTAGAGTACACTTTTGCATCATGTTCACGACACGGCATTGATTTTCTCCCTAACCCAAACAACGACGGCGACGACGACTGAGGATCGGTTTTCGTGGGCATGAACGCCGAGAGCACACACTTTTGGTATCATGTTCACGAAACAACCGCGTCTCTCGGAGTCGGCACACAGCACAAACGACGGAAAAGACCTACAGCATCCTCAAGACCAACAAGGCATCACACCATTAACAGGCAACGATACTCGTCTCCCAACCACGAACAACAACAGCATCATTGTAGCCTTCTCGAGACAGTACCCATCAGACGAAGAAATGAATCACACCGAGGGCACCGATTGTCCATCTCGCAGCCACAAACACCAACAGCATCAAAACCCCTTCACGAGTGCAGCAGTACCTTGAGAGGGAACCCTCGGTGGATGACTTCGAGCAGCTCGGGCTGAGGCCCGCGGAGAGCGATCGCTACACCCGTCTCGTGCAGCCGTCCGCAGGAAACGATGGCCGCGTCGGAGGCCTCCAGCCGCTGGACGCAGGGCGCGACCGAAAAGTCGCACACGCTCACCGCCAGGGCCTCGAAAGCGCTCCCGCTCTTCATGTCCAACACCAACGCCGAGCACTGGTGTGTGTACCACGGGGGATTTGTAATGGGGAGGCGGGGGGGTTAGTAGGACGGAATGTAAGGGGTTGTTGGTGTCGTTAGTGTTGTTAAGTTAATACTGGTATCTAGTGTATTCTCGACCTCGATTCCTGCACGTTTTGGCATGGTCGGTCACACAGGTGAAAGGCCACACATGACTATTTTTCGCTTTTCTTCTCTCAGTCTACCCCCTTCTGCGGTGCTATATTTCGAGAGGAGGATGCTGCAGCGGTGGCTTTCGCTCGTCGACCGTGAAGTTGAATGTTGGGTACACACATGAACTTATCGCCACCTAGTAAAGTGTGTGGGCATAACGCGAGAAAATAGAGCTCGCGCGTGACTGCGTCAAGCCTGAAACCTACGAGAGTAGACTGCGAGGTTCCCAACTACACCACTGGGCGGCCAGTGTCCTTCGTCTAGTAGATGCAACATGCTGTGGGCACCGCACGTACGTGGGAAGGAAAAAAACGTCGGCATTTAATATAGCTTGTTCCCGACAAACACGCGGATAGGAGGGGCACGGCTCAACAACCTACGATAGACTCCGCCCGTGAGGGTCTCCTGTGAACTGCAATGGTGGTCACCTGTCACATCGAATTTCGCACTACGCTGCATGCAGCATGGATGTTGCATGGTGATGCACACACGACATCGATGGCACACAGCACAAATAAGCTACAATACAAAAAACGGAACCACAAAACACTTTCAACCACAAAACTCCTTTCCCGTCCCGTGCCAGCGCCAGCTAACCCCCCCAGCCTCATCACGCACCTGGGCCATGACCACGTTGGTGCGCGCGTCGCGCGAGTCCTGCGGCAGGATCAGGGAGAACGCGTCCACGCGGACGGAGAATCGGGCGTCCAGCCTGCCCAGAAACAGGTAGGCGCCGCGGACCTTGTCGATCGCCTTCCACCTGGCGTCCACCACCTCCGTGGTCCCGACGCCGCCCGTGGCCTCCTCCGCCTCCTCCGCCTCCACCTCTTCCTCCAGGGCGTTCAGCTCCTGCGCCTCGCGGGCGGCCGGCGGCCCCATGAGGCACGCCAGGACGACGTCGATGATGGCCATGATCCTGCCCGGCAGGGCCACCACGGTGCAGCTCTGGAAGTCCAGGCCGGCCTCCAGGCGCCCCCCGACGAAAAGCGCGAGGGTGGCCTTGGTCGTTCCCCCCGCCGCGTGGGAGCCATCCCCGTCGCCGGCGGCGGACACCGCCGCCGGCCCGCCGATGAGGGTCGGCAGAACGCCGCCGTCCTCCAGGGCGCCGAAGTCCGTCACGCGCGTCCCGCCCAGCACGAGCGACAGGCTCATGCCCGCGACGCCGTCGCCGACCTTGTCGTTGTCCCCGAAGCTCTCGACCCGGAGGTCTGCGCCCTGCCCGAGGCGGGACGGCTTGTACAGGCGGATGGGAAGGGCGTCCGGGAACAGGGCGCCGGAGAAGGTGTAGAGCTGCACGGGGCCTTCTTCCTCGGGTTCGCCGGCCCCGGCCTCGGCGCCGGCGCCGGCGGCGTCGCCGGGGGGGAGGGGGGACGGTCCCCCTTCTCCTGCCCCTTCCGCACAGGGAGCGGCGGCGGCCTCCGCTGCGACGGAGCCCATCAGCATGTTGAAGCCGAACTTGAAGTCCTGTGGAAAGATGGTTTTATTCGCATGTGTTCGGCGTGTTTATTATCGCGGGGAAGCGACGGACATTCATAGTTTCGACATTGGCGAGGGAAAGGGCGAAGAAGATTGTGGGCGTGTCTTGCGCACCGCGATTGTGGGGAGGAAGTACAGGAGAAACCGGAATGTGCTTAGATGGAGGAGCGAAAAGGTTGGCAAGAGACGACAAAATCGGCCGGAGGTAAGCAAGCACCGCAGAGCGAGGAAAACACAACACGTACAACAGCAGAAGTACCATACGCTTCATCGAATACCACTGGATTGAAAAACCCGGATTGTATACGCCGTTTCTACTTGTGCAATAATAAACGCCCGTGTGGCTTAGGTGCCTCACGTTTATCGCCACCGAGGCAGCAAGCGCCGGCAGTTGAAGGCTGTCCCTGAGGCGCAACGCCTCCTCGGTCGCCAGCTCCCCGTCGTCGCCGCCGAGCTTCACCGAGCCGCCGCTGTGCTGCCTGGACAGCTGGTCCATCTCGGGGAGGCTACCGTCATCGCCGCCGTCGGAACTACCGGCAAAGATACTGTCGTTGTCGTCGCCGCCTTGGCCGAGGTCGACCTCGCGCGAACTGGCCTTATTCTTGTCCGCGCTTTTGGCGTTGTCGCAGGGCGGGTGATATACCAACAGGGACACGTCTTGTGCGGACATGCGGATGTCGATCTCCATCAGCACGGGGTTCTCCGCGCCTGCGTATGCCGATTCCTTTTTTTAAAGATGAGGGAGGATTCCAAGAAAGGAAGACAACATAGGCGGCGGAGACGGCGTGGGGGGTTATTTCTGCAAGTTCGATGGTGACCCAACCGTTCACCGCGCAGCTCAAACAAAGAAGGAGTGGACGGAGGGGGGGGGAGAGTAGCGAAAGTACGCAATAGGTGAGATTCAGGATCCTTCAGAGCTGACAGGTACGTGGCGATGAGGCACGAAGGAGCTAATGCGGAGATTCTTGTGCACATCACTGTACTTCGTAAACGAAAGCCCTGTCTTCTGTTTGTTCTCTGCAAACCTAAGGTGCATCGCAACCTCGAAGGAAGGTAGCGAAAATGCAAGAACCAAGAATATTATCGCGCTAGATTCGGCAAGCTATGCGCTCGTATGGCATGAATCATTATCATACTCTTGCCTGAACACTGGCAAAAAATCGAGCGTACCGTGCCCTGGAAGCGGCAGGAACGCAAGGGCAAATCTTTGTGGCAGTGACAAACACCCTAGACAAGAAGTGCGTACCTGCGCCGCGTAGTACAGGAGAGCCTCGAGCCGGGCGTCCTCCTCGGGCCCGTCGGTCGGCAGCGAGGGCAGCGGGGCCTCGCTCTGCCCCGACGAGATCGACGGGGCTTCCTCGTCGCTCTCGGCGCCCCCGCCGCCGTCGCCCGCAGCTTCCCCCACCGGCTCCGACGCCGGGGTACCCTCCAATTCCTCCGCCGGAACCCCTTGGAAAGGGTCGATCGAGTTCAGGAGAAGGTTGGCCACGAGCATGACGCGCTCCGGGCGGGTTGCGTCCCAGTTGCGGACGCGCATCCTCGTGAGCATGATCTGCGAGAGCGACATGTTCTTGTCGAGCTTCCGCAGCTCGGCGGCGTCCCCCTTGTACTTCTTCTCGCCGTTGCCGTCCGGGAGCGAGCCCAGCGCCTCCGCGTACTTCTCGAGCTCCTCCGGGGTGACCGGGACGCCGCCCGCCGCCGCCCCCGGCCGGCGCGCGAACGCCTCCTTGTGCCAATGCAGGCGCGCGTTACTGCACCACTCCGAGTAGGGCCCCATCAGGGCCAGCAGCGGCAGGGCGTCGTTCAGGAGGCTGAACACCTGGAAAGGCTCGAGCTCGACCACGACGCCCCTCATCTGGTCGAAGTCGACGGCGAGGATCTTTCCCTTCCCGCCGGGCTGCCGCCCGACCCCGAGCAGCACGCACATGAGGTCTGGGAACAGGAGGGTCCCGCCGATGCTCTCGACCATCAGGAGGCTGTTGTGGTCGTCCGGCTGCCGCAGGCCGTCTCCGCCGCCGCCGCCGCCGAGAACACCGGACGTGAGCGGCAGTGCTCCTTCCTCTATGTAGAGCTCAGGGTCGTCGTCTCCCCGAACAACGGCGTTCGCACCGGACGCGGCGGGGGGCGGACTACGAACGCTCTCGCGTTGTTGGTTGTGAGGCTTGTTGAAGCTGCTGTGTCCGCGGACGGGCGTTCCGTCGGTGTCGTAGTACATGTTGAACGACTTTACCTTGAGCGTACGGGGCGTCACGCCGAGCGTTTCATCGGAGGGATGCGCCTTCTTGCACAAGCGGAAGCGGTCGAATTTCACGCCGAGGACCCACTCGCAGCCCACGCCGTGGCTGCCGCTAGCGGTGCCGCTAGAGGCAGCGGGCGCTGCTGCTGCTGTTGCTGGCCTGATGTCGCTTGCGTCCTGCTGTTGAGGCTGCGTTCCCTCCTCCGGTGTGTCCTTGTGGTTCGCTGACGACAGGCTGAGGTGAAACCCCTCGACTTCGACGTCGACGGCGTTGATGACACCGTCCACCAGCCTGAAGATGTGGCTCGGCGGCACGCCCTCCTCGGGCGTGGTCTTGTCGATGAGCGCCGTCAGGAGGTTGGCCTGGTTGTGGTTGCCGCCTTCGATGCCGGCCGCCATCGCCTCGGCCTGCTTCTCCCAATCGTCGATGCCGTTGCCCTTGATCGCGACGCGCACCCCGACCAGCCGGATGATGAGCTTCGGCTCGAGTCTCTCCCTCTCCTCCCTTTTCCACCAGGCCTTGATGAACTTGATCAAGCCCCATCCGAAGTGGACTCGGTACTCGTCGACTCTCACCTGCGTGACATCCACCGGGTACAGGCCGACGAGAAACCCGGAGACGATCTTGAGGCTCTTCTCCGCGAGGAGGACATGCTTTGCACGGAGGCTCAGCGGCCCGTACCGCACCCTAAGCCTCGAGCGCTCGCCTGGACCGCCCTGGCTGCTGTCGGGCGCGTTCGGTTCCAGGAACTCGAGCTTGGTCGCTGCGAAGCCCGTCCCGGCATTGAGCAGGAGCCACAGCACGAATCCGACGATGCACAGAACGATAACGCTCCCGATCATGCTGCCGGCGTGGCTTGCCTCCAGCCCGTGTTCAGGAGGGGAATGCGTACGCTATTAGAGAGCGTGTGAATTCAAGTTACAGACTTCCAGATCAAATTTCCCTTATCTTGTCCGCGGCAGCAGCAGCGGAGCGGCGAGACTTTCTCCTTTTCCCACCTGTTGTAGGAGCAGAGGGAGAGCGCCTTTTGGGACGGCGACCTCTTGCTCTGCCTCTCGCGATGTTTTGGTTTCTCTGCCTCCCAGCACCAAGCGTAGCCACGCGACCCCTGGAAGTGCGCGAAGTGTGTGTAGGTGTTTTCGAGGCAATGCTGCTCTTCTCTAGCGATGTACGCAACTTCCTCTCACCCATGGGCAGGAACCAGGAACGAGAATTCTTCGATCCGATCTCCAGTCCGGAGAAAAAAAGGGTACACCTTCAACCAAAGAATGAGGGTAAGGGTCTGTTGAGGGTATGGAATATCTACGATTGAACGATTGAAGGTACACCTGTACTGGGGAGCTGGGGAGGTACAGCTGACAGTCCCGGGCAAGCGCATGTGTTCAGGTGGTGCAGGTTACAGGTTGGACCCCGAGGAAACGCAGCGGCTGGATAGATACCGATTTTCACTGGCAGAGCCAGAGGCAAACACCAGTTTCTTTCCATGAACGGGGCGGTAGCTCTACGGCAAGGGGCGGGGCTGAGCATGGTAACCGCGACACCAAGATTTCGATGTGTGCGGCCCATTTCGAAGGTCTGGGCTGCAGCAGAACGATGGCAAGCAGGAACAGCAGCGGTCAGAGGACGACGAGGAGGAGGAGCTGCCGACGATGGCGGTCACGAACTATCGACACATGTTAGCTCGGACGGTGTAACTCCTAGGATGGTAGACGTTGGCGACAAGGTGAGAGGGCAGGGCAGTTGGATTTCGAGCTGTCTAACTCTGAAACTGCTGTTGCTGTTGCAGCGCTCGACGATGTCCAGCACACACGAAATGTACCGCCTTACCACCGCTTATAAAGTTGATGAACCTACAATATAACAGACAAGTACGCGAGCCACGAGCAAGGTGGCCATATACAGTACCCAACTTGTGTGTGTGTCTGTTCAAACAGCACCGACCGTGCTAATTGGCTGGCGAACAGAAAGACGCCAGTCGGAATAGTGAGGTATGGCTTGGCTTGTGTGTTGGAACTTGAAGCCCCTACTATTCAGTATGCATACTCAAGAGTTGGTAAGGTCGCTGATTCCGGGCTCGTATGACCATGCCTGACCATTGCAAAATTACCATACGGTGCCACGTTTGTACGCAACCGCAACACACCGCTTTTCAATCCATGACCCATCAAGAACCGTCATGTTCGTTGGAAGTTGTCGTCGTGGTGCCCCTTGCCGCCACGTCTCGGTTGCAGCATCTCGGAAACCCCAAAGCGATTCAAATGCAGAGAACACCGGCTTACACAACAGGTCGAGCACTTGCAGTGCACTAGGTAATCCGATGCACCCGCCTATTTTTCCGACTTTGAACAAACAAGTCACCCGCGTTCATCAGACTTGGTGCTAGCGCGAATTTCAAACCGAGCGTGAATAGGTACGCGCGACCCGATCCGGAGCTTCGTATGGCACGGATAGCAGTGTTCACACGTGTTTCAAAACAGTACTTGGAGTATCAGATCCTGACACATCCCCCAATCCTTGGTTTCTCACCGACGAACTTAAATCCCTCCGCCTCCCTGCACACTTCTTATGGGACGTACCACCACCATGTAAACCCCCAGGCGACGACCCGCAGAACAGCGACGGCGCGCAGCCGCATCCGTCTCCCTCCGGACGTCACGTCCAAGATGGAAACCGTGGGCGGAGAGGTGGTAGGCAAGAAGGGGCCCGTGTTCACGACGGCCATAATAGCCGGGGTGCAGGCGGCCAAGCGCACGAGCGAGCTTATCCCGTTCTGCCACCCCCTGCCGATAGAGGACTGCCGCGTGGAGCTGAGCCTGAAGGAGGGTGGGGAGGTGAGTCGTGGCCAGCGCACCGTGACATTACTTTATCTGAGCACGAGGGTTGCCTCGTTTGTTTTTCAGCCCGCTCGGACGGTAGTTGGGTCATATCTCGCCATATGGGTGAGGCTTCGCTCTCCTCCGTACCTATTGGATTCGGATGCCCTAAGAGGAAGTTCACATTTTTGGGCGAAGAGATCAACCTTATCTCCAATTCGGAACCCCTATCGTCTCCTGCCCTTGCAGATTTTTCATCTGTTATTGGGAGTCGGGGGGCACAGTGTGTGCTCATGTATGCCTCCGATTCGTTTTGGCAGATTCGATCCTTTTGCCTTGGGTAATGCATTTGAGGAACCAGCTCGATACACCTCGTATTGGAGACTTTCAACAACGGGCAAAGATCACACTCCCCCGCCTATACCCTCTGCCTTGTGAACGGCGGGGAGAATTTTATAGTCGCCCTGGCGATGTCTCTGTTTACAGAAGGAATGGCGCTGTTCGTCGAAGCGTGGTTGATGACCCAGCACACAACAAAACTCACGCCGTGGTAAGACCTGCATCCTCCGATCCCAACACCGTGGACTCGGCGCAGATCATCGAGGTGGACTGCACCGTGCGGGTGACGCACAAGACCGGTGTGGAGATGGAGGCCATGATGGGAGCGTCGGTGGCGGCGCTAACTGTGTACGACATGCTGAAAGGGCTGTCGCACAACATCGTAGTCGAAGACACGGCGCTCGTGTCCAAGACGGGTGGAAAGCGCGACTTTTCCAGGACCACGGGGGAGGAAGCGGCGGCCGAGCGGCGATGACATCCCTAGTTTATTCCTTCCTATCTTTTCTTGAGAAGAGGTTTGTGGGGAAAAAAAACGAAAAAAAGAGGTTTGTAGACCGTTTGTCGGCTTATAGGCGATAGGAGGTCGTACAGCCTTTCTTGGCAGTGTTGCTTCGTTTCGTGCGTCTCTTCCCAGCGGGAGACAAAGGAGGCACAACGGTACTTTCCTCTGGATATATGGGAAGCCACGGAGAATTCGGTCAACACTTTCCATCAAGCCGTACCTAAGGGCGGCGTGTTTCAAAGGCGGATCGCCCTTTTGAGGCATCAAGGTCGTGTGGACCACGCCTACAACAGCAGGCTCCAAGGCGCGATAGGCCCCGCGCTGTGCTCAAGTTGACGGTACCGGCCCGCCTTGGGGTTTCAGCACAGAGAGGCCACGCGCGACGTCATGTTTCCGGACACCGTTCGTCCGAGACGTTTGTTGTCCCCAGCAGTGCTGCTGTGCACGCGAAACACGGCAGATTATTGGCGAGACAGAACTCCCTTCCCGGTCCCGAACACACGGCGCCACAATAGCTTCATGGTGCGCAGTCGGATGAGTTTTCGCCATTTGCTACATACACAGGGGAGTGTTTGGTGAGTTGACATTCACGAAGCGGCCGGCGCGTGCGCGCACTTGGTGAGAAATCCATTCGCTCGTGCACGTATGCTCTAAAACACAATGAGAAGCCGGTTTCGATCACAAAACATAAAACAACACAGATACGAAACGATCCACATAAAGCGAAAAGACAAGACTTGTCTCAAAATTTTGTAACCATCTCAAGCCTGCTCCACACACATCTGAGACAGCAGCGGCACGCGCATCGCGCATGCGATAACGTTGACTCCTGCAACCCCCCCCCGCGTCAGTCCCATCACATGCCAACGAGGAGCAGGAGCCCCCCACAAAGGGTACCCAAGATACTCCTTTTCCCTTGTCAAGCTCTGGCGCCGCCTCCCCTCCCGCTTGTCTCGAGGACGCGTGGTCTTAACATCAAAGGCATGCAAAACATCAGTCCGTCCCCGCCCCCTCCTAGTCTCCTATGCATAGGCCGCACCCTCAGCTAGAGCCCTGACGCACATCCCGCCAAAGCGCTGCAGGCCGACTAGAGCCATCGCTCCGGCTGCCGCGCCGCCCGACACCGGTGCCGCCGCGGCCGGCACACCGGCGTCGCCGTTCAACCGGTCAGAACTTCCAGGTGGATTCTGCCCGGCTCCTACCCCCCTCTCCGCCGCGGCGCGGATATCCGCAGGTTTTGGCGGTGCTTGTGTCGCCGCCGCCGCCGCCGCCGCCGCCGTCGCTGTCGTACGGGCAACCTTGACCTGTTCCAGGAGGTTGGCAATGAAATGCCCGTATCCCACACGCAGGGGCTGTGAAGCGCTCCTGATGGGAAAATAGGAGGGCCGGGGGGCGAGCGCCGGGGGCGGTCGGGATTGGGGAGCGGATGATCTAGCTGAGGTTTCGCTCGCTCAAACGCTGGCAACGCGGTGCTACTAACAATGAAGGGACGCAAAAATGGTTTTCAACCCTTTTGGTGGAAGAGGGGTCACATAACGAGGAGGTGGTGCTGCTAGTGCCGCAGAGGAGAGTCCGTTTGGTTACGGCAGGCACTAAAAGTCCTTTCGACTCGGGCACGACACAACGATAAAACAGGAAGTCCACAGAAGGAACTCTTGTCAGACGAACGGTACCGCAATTGACAGCACAAAAAAAAACAAAAACGATCCCGAGGGTACGAGCAACTTTGAAGCTCACCCTAGTATTGCCGTCGCCCCTGCCATATCCCGTAGCAGCGAGGCCGACACCAACGCGGCTTCCACATGCCCGACCGCCCGGCTCAGGTCCCCGAGCAGCTCCAGCTGCGGTCGGACCGAGGCCGACAGGGCCGACAGCGCTCGCTGCCGCGCGGCCGACGTCGGCCCTCTCCTGCCGCCGCCGCTCCCGCCGCCTTCTCTGCCGGAGGAAGTACTGTTCGGGGCCGACGAAGACCCCGGGATGTCGGTGACGGGCGGCGTGCCTGGTGGCAGCACGGCAGAAGAGCTGTCCGCGAGCAGTGGTATTTCCGGCTGCTGCTGCTGCTGCTGCTGCTGCTGCTGCTGCCCGGCCGGCGCGGCCAGCTGGGCCAGGGTCCCGACGGAAACCTTGAACATCTGTTGGGTGTGGGATGGAAAAAGTGATGGTGGAACCGGGAACTTGGTCACGCGGGAGTCGGTCACGAACGACGACGGGTGGGTGAGGTTAGGGAGCGCACTCATGGGCACATACGCCGTGCTCGAAGCAAAGGGGGGGGGGGGGACCGCACCCC